GCAGCTGTCATCCGTACGCAAGGAAGTAAGCACAAGATGCCGAACACCCTTAGCCGGACGCCAGGCACCCATCATGGGATTCGCCGAACATCTAAGTGTCCCGAGGCAAAAATCACCGACGAAACTTGGGGAACTCTTTTTCCAAGTATTTCAGAGACAGATAACACCGACGAAACTTAGGAAGGAGCTTGCCGAGAGAACCAAAGACCCAAAAATAACAAAAAATACGCAAAGGCGAGAGAGAACGGACATCCAGGTCGCGGCAGTTCACTGATTCAGATGAATGCAGGCAACAAGGAAGAAGGATCACTCGACACCGCGTGTCTTGAGGCGGCGTTGCCCCAGCGTCCAATACAAAAAATAAGCCAACGAAAGGAAAGAGACAACACAGAAAAACAAAACAAAACAAAATAGAGCAAAACGGAAGGAAAAAAAAAATGCAAAACGTCGGCGAGAGGGATGGCACAAAAGACCAAAATAGGCTAATTGGTATATGAAAACGACGACGCTAAGAAGAATGGTGGGAGCAGCCGACGGTAAGGAGTCAGCAAGGAGCGGAGTGCGACCACGGTTGTCGCCCAGAGGGCGCGAACGATGTTTCTCTAAACACCATGATCCATAGGCGGCGTCCAAGGCGGTGGAGTAGAGATGCGCAGGCAGAGGGAGAACGCTTGGGCCCGGATCGTCCAAAAATCGCACGATGTACGAGCCGCCCTGATGAGCCCCAATACGTCCAGTCCACCACAATCCATCCCGGGCCTTGTACCACAGCCGCGCGCCAACAGGGAGGGGCGATGTGCTGAAACGACGAAGCCAAGTCGCGTTAAGCACAAGCTCAGCCCCAGGAGGCAAATAGCGCTCTCCACGATTCCGGGCTAGCTCCCGCTGTGCCGCGCGAGTCCGAGCCACTCGATATGTACGGTTACCCTGCTTGCTTTGGCAGGCCTCCCGGGACCAGTACAAGTGGATGTGTCGACGGAATAGATCAAGGTCGGATTCCCGTTCCCATGATGGAGTAGTCAGGCCTACCCAATGCGTCTGGTACAGGACAGCGAGAACGCCGCCACGGCCCCGCACCAGTTGATGTCCCGAGATGTAGCCGACCTCGAGGCGCCCGACAGGCACCGACACATCATCCGCGGTGACGTGGAAAGGTGACATTTATCTCCGAAAGAGTGCAGAACATGACGCGAAAGCTCGGCGGGCAAAGATTGCGGCACGTCGTCCGTCTCGTACGGATTGCGACAGGGTTTGCTACGAAGGACAGACACGCGACGACGAGCTGCCGGGCCGGAACGATCGGAAGGCAGGTCCAGGTAGAGAAGTTTACGCGCCAACGGGCGGCCGTCCGGAGTGGCGTTGGCAACGGTGAGACCCACCGCAAGAACTTTGTAGGGCCCCGTCCAGGAAAGTGCGAATTTGGCCTTGAGCACCTGTTGGTCCGTGTCCTTCTGCACACCCTGTCGAATTGTAGCAGCCGTGTTGTACACCCAAGCCCACCCGCCAACGGTAAACTGAGGGAGCTTGTGAATGGCGTCGTCCAGCAGGGATGAATTTCGGCGTTCGACTCGCGAAATCTTCAGCGCGTTGTACTCATGGACAGGTTCCTAGGCCCGGCGCTGGCGATCGACGGCCAGGTTGCAATACTCGAGTTGATCGCGCGCCAAGCTTTGATGACCACCTACCGTGGGATGATCGAAGACCGAAAGCGGGAGTCTCGGGATGCGTCCGATGTGGATCTCGTATGGCGCTAATCCAGTAGACTGGTTCACGGAATTGTTGTTGGCAAACTCAACGTGCGGGAGGTGTATGTCCCAGTCGTTTTGCTGTTCGTTGACGACCACCGCAAGCATCTGGGCCATCGTGTGGTTGACGCGTTCCGTGCCGCCGTTGGTCTGTGGGTGGTAGGAGCTGGTGGTGACTCTCTTGATCTTCATCAACTCATAGATCGCCATGGAGAGCTTCGAGCAGAAATGCAGTCCGTTGTCCGATGATAACGTTGTCGGACATCCCCACTTGGTCATGTATTGGTTGACGAAGATGTGAGCCNGATCTTCATCACCTCGTAGATCGCCATAGAGAGCTTCGAGCAGAAATGCAGTCCGTTGTCCGACAATAACGTAGTCGGACATCCCCACTTGGTCATGTATTGGTTGACGAAGATGTGAGCCGTCCCTCTCGCCGTAAATTCCGCCGCTGTAACTGCGAACATGTCGGCTCTCCGACTGAAACGGTCTGCCCTTGGCAGTCACTGGCAGAGATCCAAAGAAGTCGACGCCGACGACCGTACCAGGCCCATGCGGCAATGGCATAGCGATGACGGGCCACCGAGGAGTCTGACGTGAAGTCTTGCGAGCTTGACACACCAAACATGCCCGAAGCCACCAGCGCACGGAACGATCCAAACCAATCCACCAGTAGAAGCGCTCGAGCAGACGCTGTGTACGATGGACGCCGAGATGGAATGACGCGGCGGTATGGCATGCATGAAGGACCCACGGACGCATCAGCATTGGCACGTAGACACGGAACTCGCCAGTATCCGGCAGACGAGTGGTCCTGCCGCCAGAGCGCCCAACCGCCGACGTCGCCGATTTATGTACGAGGAGGATGATGTTGTCATTGGTCGTGTGCAGTCTGGTTTTCGCCGCCAACACAAGCACATCATCTAACCGAGGGGAGCGACGAGGAGCACAGAGAGTGAGCAAGTCCGGAGGGGGTGGGGAGGGAGAACCGNCAGCACGTAGACACGGGGCACGCCAGTATCCGGCAGACGAGTGGTCCTGCAGCCAGAGCGCCCAACCGGCGACGTCGCCGATTTATGTATGAGGAGGGTGATGTTGTCATCGGTCGTGTGCAGTCTGGTTTTCGCCGCCAACACAAGCACATCATCTNTCTCCCACTGTTGTTCCCTAGCCCAGTCCATAGGGCTGAAACTCTGAGCACAAGCCCGCAAGTGGGAGGTGTCCAAATCAGAAGATTCCGAAAAAAAATTAGGCGATCCAGCGGAAGAGGCTGAAGAAGGCGAAGCCTCAGCGACTGTGGCAGCCGCAGTCCGTGGTGATGTCCGCGAAGGGGACATCGTGAGTGGCGAAGTCCCGGGCGAAACCTGAAGATAAGGCGAAGTCGGGGATGCAGGGGGCGCCGCTGACGGCGAAGGCACCGGTGGCGCAAGAGCAGTCGACGAAAACGCCGATGCCGGCGTTGCGGATGGCGGCAGCAGACGCGCGGCGGTCTGCGTGGTNGGAGCGACGAGGAGCACAGAGAGTGAGCAAGTCCGGAGGGGGTGGGGAGGGAGAACCGCGAGACAAAAAACGCATAGCCACCACACACTCGCTCTCCCACTGTTGTTCCCTAGCCCAGTCCATAGGGCTGAAACTCTGAGCACAAGCCCGCAAGTGGGAGGTGTCCAAATCAGAAGATTCCGAAAAAAAATTAGGCGATCCAGCGGAAGAGGCTGAAGAAGGCGAAGCCTCAGCGACTGTGGCAGCCGCAGTCCGTGGTGATGTCCGCGAAGGGGACATCGTGAGTGGCGNACTGTTGTTCCCTAGCCCAGTCCATAGGGCTGAAACTCTGAGCACAAGCCCGCAAGTGGGAGGTGTCCAAATCAGAAGATTCCGAAAAAAAATTAGGCGATCCAGCGGAAGAGGCTGAAGAAGGCGAAGCCTCAGCGACTGTGGCAGCCGCAGTCCGTGGTGATGTCCGCGAAGGGGACATCGTGAGTGGCGAAGTCCCGGGCGAAACCTGAAGATAAGGCGAAGTCGGGGATGCAGGGGGCGCCGCTGACGGCGAAGGCACCGGTGGCGCAAGAGCAGTCGACGAAAACGCCGATGCCGGCGTTGCGGATGGCGGCAGCAGACGCGCGGCGGTCTGCGTGGTTTTGTTGGTCGAGCGGACCTGCTATAGCGACGGGCAGGCGACGATGTCCGAGGGACGATGGTAGCCCGCGGCTGGCGTCCGAAATAAGCGGAACCAGTGACGGTGCCTCCGGAAACAGCGGTAGTTTTGGTCCGAGTCCATGAAGAAATGAGCGGTCCCTGCTCCGGAAGCGAAGACAAAANTGCGTGGTTTTGTTGGTCGAGCGGACCTGCTATAGCGACGGGCAGGCGACGATGTCCGAGGGACGATGGTAGCCCGCGGCTGGCGTCCGAAATAAGCGGAACCAGTGACGGTGCCTCCGGAAACAGCGGTAGTTTTGGTCCGAGTCCATGAAGAAATGAGCGGTCCCTGCTCCGGAAGCGAAGACAAAACGTGTAAATGTCTAGTCGCCAAAGACGTGGCAGGAGACATCACGCGGGATGCGTCCGAAGTCAATGAGGAAGCAGGCCCTGAACATGCGAGAACAGGCGAGACGATGAAGACCCCCGGGGACCACCGAGAATTCTCGCAGGCAATCACTGAGTCCGTCAGAGCATCCAACCGACGCGGGTGATGTCGGCGAAAATCCCCAAAATCGGAGGGCTGCAACGCTGGGGGCGAAAAGACTCCTGCCGTGCAAGGAGGGCGGAGCCCACCCAAACCGACCTCCGGTGTAGACGACGAGTGATAGTTGCACCCGCAAGCCCAAATGAGGAAATCACCCGCTTGATCGACACCATCAATACAGTCGCGGCCGGTTTTGTCCGTGTCTTGTGCTGGTAAAGTCAACCGCGAAAGAAAATCTGCGTTGCCGTTTGCCGAACCTTTCCGATATTTCAGGGTGTAGGTGAAGTTGGACAGAAATTCGAGCCATCGTTGCAACCTAGCGTTGTGTTCCCCAACCTTGCCAATGCTCTCCAAGGCTTTGTGGTCCGAATAGATGATGAACTTGGTCGACCACAGATAACCACGAAGGCGTTTGATGGCCCAAACAATGCCACCAGCCTCCAGATCCAAAACGGTCCAGTTACGCTCCGCAGGAAGAGCTGCGCGGCTGATGTACACGATGGGTCTCACCGAGCCATCGAGCTGTTCTTGTTCCAAGGAGGCGCCAAAACCGTCGATACACGCGTCGGAACACAAACGAAGAAGACGACTGTTGTCCTCGATTGCTGCCCAATCCGGGAAAACCAAAATCGGGGGGCGAGAAGTTCGCTTCACAACGTTTTGACAACCTTGACCATGTCTGGGGTGTACTTGATGGGGACACCTTGTTTGAGAAGAGAGTTGAGAGGCCGCACCTTGGTGGCGAGATTCTTGAGGAATTTCCGGTAGTAACTGAGTCCACCGAGAAGGCTCCGAAGCTGCTTAACATTCGTCGGCGGCGGCATGTGCGTGAGCGCCCTAACCTTGACGCCATCAGGGCTAACACCTGCCGGAGAGATGGTGTGACCGAGAAAGTTGGCGTGCGTGGCGCCGACGCGAGCCTTCCCTGGAGACAGTTTGAGGTTGTACTGTCGCAGTCGTTTGAAGAACTCGATCAAGTTCAGCACGTGTCCCAGAGGTTCCTCATCGAAACAGATGACATCGTCCAGATAAGCCAGCACACGCTCCAGACCGTGCACCACTCTGTTGATGACCTTGACGAACCAAGACGGACTTGCGTTGGCGCCCTGCGGCATCCGAAGCCATTCGAACAACTGCGTGGGAGTGCAAAAGGCGGTGAGCGGGACAGTGTCTTTATCACAAACGATCTGGTGGAAAGCCGAGTTGAGGTCGAAGATGGAGAACACTTTCCCGGTGTACAGAGAATCCAAGATACCGTCCACTCGAGGGAGAGGTTGTCCATCCAAATCCACCAGCGCGTTGAGACGTTTGTAGTTGACGGTGATGCGAACAGATCCTTCCTTCTTGGGGATGACAACTACAGGAGAAGCCCACGGAGATGTGGAATGTTGAATGAGCCCTGCCGCCAAATACTGGTCCAAAACGGCATCCACTTTCTTTTGCATCAACGGGTTGATACGATACGGGTGTGATGCAACAGACTTCGTCCCTGCTGGGACAGAAAGCGTGAACGGCATTATGGTGCAGGAACCAAAATCGGTTTTCGAAGTAGAGAACACGTCATAATATTCCACAAGGGCGTCGGCCAAACGATCAATAGCCTCCGGTGTCCATCCCGGATTGTGTAGATCGAAAGCGATGTCGTGCATATGTGCGGGCAGCCTAGCCCCCAAGCGCATGAAGCTGGAGCGCTGTGCCTCAGAGAAGCGGTCAAGTAGTTCTTGTGGAGGCGGCTTCGGAGGAGGCGGGGCGGAGGCTGGGTCCGGAGAGCGGTGAGTCCCGGACTTGGGGCTAACGGCGTTGACCCGAGGTGGTGATGTAGATGTTGTGGGGCCGGTAGGAATCGAAGATGGTGCCGCCTTCAGGGTTTCCACCGGTACTCGTGTTAGCGGCGCGGCAGACACTCCAATTACGTCTCCCGGCTCGAGCTCGGCACAACCTGCAAGGGGAATACGCTGGAGACCATTGGAAACGAACGCATCTGGGGACGAAAGCGCACCCACTTCGGGTTTGAACGATACCAGATACTCTCCAATCAGCGCAGGCATGCCAGAAGAACGAACGAGGTCCACCTCAACGAGTGCAGGCTCCGGCCCCAAAGAAGTTCCCGAGCTCCCTGCATATTTAAGGTGAAACGAGGAGGCAGGAGCGTCGTCGTGTGTAGCGTAAACGCAAGCGCCAGCTGTAAAACGCGGAGAGAGCGTGAGCTCGCCCATAACCCGGTCGTCCGGTCCAGGGTGGGGGAGGGTGGTGAACACGCGAGAGTTGAAGCGCATCCAGCTATCATGACCCAGAAGCACGGCGTGCCCCATGGCGGCGTCTGGAACAACACAGGCCCAGACCGCCAAGGAAGCGGTAGCTCTATCTCCATGGAGAAAATTAACGGTGAGACGAATCGACCGGGTGGTCACAAGGGCGGGTCCATCACCAAACCCACCCCAACGACGAGAGGGCGAAACACGAACGCTGCCAGCTGTCAGGGCTCCGGCAGCTATCATGGCGGTGACCACGGAGTCGGAAACGAAGGATGCAGGAGACCCAGAGTCCAGAAGCGCCACTCGCGCAAGTTGAGAAGTGGCTGTAGGTCCTCCATGCAGCAGGACCCGGGTGGTGTATGAGTTCGAGTCCAACAGGAGCGTGCCGCCGACCAGATCGGGTCCATGTTCGAGAAGAGGAGGCTGGTCTGCACAAGCGGAGGTCGATGCCACCAGATGAACGCCAGGAGCATGGTCCCCCGGAGCTTCCAAACGTAGACAAGCTGGGTCTTCGCCCGGGTCCTTCCGTAGCGAAGAACCTGTAGCAGTAGCAACCTCATGAATGCGTCGATGTCCATGGAGAGGAGGCTGCGAAATGGGGGGCGTGGGAGAATTGGAAGCGGGGAAATCTTCGCCAGAGAGGGGATGATCACGCAAAAGGCGTCGAACTTCCATCAAAGCTTTTCCCAACAAGTTTTTACCGCTAGCCGCCCACTTGGATGAATCGCTAGCATCTGGAAAGCATGCAGACATGCCGATACCCCAAACACGATCGAAGGGGCTGGCTTCTGCAAGGAGGCGGGTACCCGTCTCCAGTAGATGATGTTTCATGTCATGGTTTTGAGCAAATTTGGCGTACGACCCCGTAAGCACGATCTCTTCACGACGACGCTCCCATTCAGCATAGTCGAAAGGACGCACATTTCGACCCAAGAACTTGTGTGTCTTAGGATCTGTTGCAGCCATAATTTTGTCATACGACGTCATATCTCCAAACAACTTCGCTTTTTCAGACATCATGAATTGCTCACCACATGAATAACGTACCCCCAGTACGTCAAAAGCCGAAGGAGTCCATTGCGAGAACACAGACGGAGGTTTCCAGAAAAGAAGGACGTCATCCGAAGCGTACTCGCACTTGTCATCAAACGGCGGAGCCGGTGCAGGGCGAAGGGGCAAAGAGCGGGCACCAGGCACAGGCGGGGGTGGACCAGGCGGACGGGTCCTCTTCTCCGACGGGGAGGACCCAGAAAGCGAGGCAGGAGCGGGCGAAGTCGCAACGCTCCGTGATCCGGAGGGCGGCCTTAGGGCGGCGGCTCCGGCGGGGTCAATGTTAGCAGAGGCCATTCGGCTATTAGAGACCCGTTCGTTAGGAGAAGTCATTCCTGCAACAGACGGATGTTTGATCATTGACGCAGGGCGCTCTTGACTACTCCTCCTTGACAAAGGAGCCGAGCTTTCCACAGAATAGTGGGCACTACCATCCGATCCCGATGGCAGTGGTGCAGTCAACACGTGGTGGGCAG